TGATGACGCAGTTAGTTGTTCAGTGATGCTGGAAGTCCTTCGAGTCTTGTCAACATCTTCAGAAGCTTTGCAGCATGCTGTGGTGTATCTCAGTGCCTTTTAAAAATTGTTACATTTTGAGACAGGGCCTCACTAAGTCTTGAGTTGTCCAGGCTGGACTTCACCTTGCCACCCTGTTGTTTCCAAGTTGTTTTTTCTTTTTTGCAGTACCGGGGATTGAACTCAGGCCCTTGGGCTTACCAGGGAAGCGCTTATTCCACTGAGCCATCTCCCTGGCCCCTCCAAGTTGTTTTGAACATGGCATGAATGTTCAGTCATATGGGTTGTGTCTTTGCTCTTTTTACAGCCTCCCACTTAGCCGAGCGTGTTACTTGGCACCACTCATAGTAACTAGGCTGCCTCTGTGATAGGTAACTTAATCCAGCAGGCTGCATGTGGTCATTGTATATAGAGATACAAAATTTTTTTTTTTTTTTTTTTTTTTTTTTTGTGTGAAACTGGGGTTTTGAACTCAGGCCCTTGTGCTTGCCAGGCAAGCACTTATTCTACCGAGCCATTTTCCCGGCCCCTAATACAAACATTTTTGAGAAATTATTTTGTATTTAGGGGCCGGGGAGATGGCTCAGTAGAGTAAGCGCTTGCCTGGCAAGCACAAGAGCCTGAGTTCAATCCCCGGTTCCACCAAAAAAAAAAAAAAAAAAAAGAAATTATTTTGTATTTATATTCTTTTTCTCATATCAAACACTTAAAAGATTGTTTCTTTCTTTCTCTTTAAGGCCAGTCATGGTTTCATTACTCAGCATCCATGGGCCAGCTTGATTCGTGCATTTATTAACCTGGAGGCAGCAGGTGTAGGAGGGAAAGAACTTGTGTTCCAAACAGGTATGTAAGACAGTGCCTTGTATGTTTTAATGTAGTTGTGGTTTTTATGATGGTGGAAAGTTTCTGAACTTTAATCTCTTTAGCAGTCTCTTGAATGAGCATTCTTCTTAAGGCATAAAGTGGTTTCAGTTGTTTTCTTTTTCCTTTTTTGCAGTACTGAGGATTAAAGTCAGGACCTTATGCTTGTCGGATAGCTGCTTATGCCTCTGAGCTATCTCCCTAGCCTTCCTGATTTCAGTTTTTTTTTTTTTGCGGAACCAGGGATTGAACTCAGGCCCTTGCACTTGCCAGGGAAGTGCTTATTCTACTGAGCCATCTCCCCAGCCCCTGATTTCAGTTCTTTAAAAATTTTTTTAGCTAATATTAATAGCATGTAACACTTGTGTGGTGCTTATTATGTGCCAAGTGTTACTCCAAACATCTTGTGTAAGAATCAAGATATATTATGTTGGGGCCAGGGAGATGGCTCAGTAGAATAAGTGCTTCCCTGGCAAGTGCAAGGGCCTGAGTTCAATCCCTGGTTCCGCAAAAAAAAAAAAAAAAAAAGATATGTGTAGATACAAATACCCTATGGTGAATGTGATCATTATATATATCTAAAATATACCAATAAACTTAATTTAAGAATTCGTGTATATGTCAAGTTCCCCCAACTCTGTACCATATTGGGGATTGAACCCAAGGTCCTTGCCATGAGCTATATCCCCTGCCCTTTAATTTTACTTTGAGACAGGGTTATACTAATTTGCCTAGAATGCGCTAGAACTTAGAATCTTCTGCCTCAGCCTTCCACGTGTCTGGGATAACAGGCACATAACACAATGCCCAGCTCACATGTTTAAAGTCCTTAAATCCTCAAAAAAAAAAAAAAAAAAAATGAGGCGTAAATACGGTTATTACTCTGGTTTTATGGATTAGGAAGCTGAGGCCATGGAGTAAAACTTACTGAAGGTTTCACAGTTGTTACGTATGATTTGATTGTAGGCAGTCCAGGTTCAGAGAGTTTACCCATAACCACTAGCCAGCTTGTCATATAAGTAAATGAACATTCAACTATTCTAAGGATAACAAGATAAAATTGAAAAAAAATTAATAAAATGGAGTTATATTTGTCATCTTATTAGAATTTAAAGCTCAGATTTATTTAGTCAGGCCTAATATCTGACGTTGGACGTTTCATGCTATTTCCCTGCTCTGTTAGAAATTTGGGTAACATATGTTATCCAGATACATAATATTTGTCAGAAGATTTAATATGGACAAGTATGTTGAGTGAGGCAGGGTGGGTGGGAAAGTAAGTAATGTGATACAGAAAGTTGTAGCACCCTTGATAGACATGTATTTAAGTTATTAAGTTATGTTAAATATGTTTTCATAATCTAAAGAGTGCTGTAATTACAGGATTTCTATTCAGCTTCTTTTAAATGTTTTACCATTCAAATAGATGGATATTTTACTTCTATTAAATGTTTGGGAATCTTGAGGCCAGGTCAGAAGCAGCAGGGTTCTGCTTTCTAGCTATTAAAACTTTCTATTTCCTTTTCATCTGATGAAGCTGGACTCTAGTATCTGCAGGAACATTTTTGTCCATTTCCTCTTATTTCTTGGACATCACTGAAGATAGGAACACATGCAACTATCACCAATTAAAAAAGTGGCATACAATTCTGTGAGAAGATACTGAGTTTTTTTTTTCTCTTTGTGAAAATCTCAGGAGTCCACGGGGCAGCATTGTATCTAGATAGTTTCTTTGTCAGAAGTTCCTAGTGCCTTTATATTCTTAATTTATTGTCACAGCATTCTGTCTTCATAGCCCTGCTCCCCAGAATTAACCCAGTTTGATGGGCTAGTCTGTAACTTCCTTATTCTTTTGTATGTATTAATATATTCTGGGTATAGTCCTGAGAAGTGAAAACATGTACCTAGACTTCAGCTCCAGGCTTAAATCAGTGCCTTTATTTACATTTATTGAGTACTCATTTATGCTAGGTTTGATAAGGTCTTTACTCTTCACTAAATATGTGTAGTTTTTTTTTTGGTGGAACTGGGGATTGAACTCATACTGAGCTATCTCCCCAGCCCTGTAAATATCATTTTGTGCTGTCCATTGTTTCATGAAGTTAAGCATTAGAATTGGCATTACTGTTTTGTTTCTACTCCAAAATTTTCTGTATTATTTGAAGTTTTGCAGTACATATGTTACTTTAATAAAGCAAAGAACAGACTTGGGAGTCATTAGCAGCGTATATGCAGTTTAAACATTTTATTCGTTTAAAAATCTCCATATTTCAAAAGTAAGTTTTTTTAGGCTGGTCTTCAACTCACTGTGTAGTCCAGGCTGGCCTTGAACTCAAGGTGATCCTCCTACCTCAGCCTCCTAAGCCCTGGAATTACTGGTGTATGCCACTATATCCTGCTTCTCTCACTTTTTATATTTTTTCTTCCCAGTTTTGGAGCTTGTTTTTGTAGGTAAAGTACATTCTTGAAAGCTGGACATCCCAGTAACTTTCCTGTATCCCTCTTCTGTTACCACTACTCACGAAAGACTAACTTTCTTGTATGTCTTTCAGAAAGCTAGCTAGTGTTTCCATGTTTAATTAAAAGAGGATAAAGTCCTCTCCTCCTACTTCCAGACTCCAAATTGTGCTAGACAGTGTATGCCCTGTGGCCTTGTGCTCAGTTTTTTTTTTGTTTGTCTGTTTTTGTGCTCAGCTTTTTCAGCCCCCCCCCCCCCAATATTTGCCCTGTACTGGAACTGAAGGTAAAACACTTAGTACTCCAACTGTGCTACATTGTCACTGCTGAGAGAGATATTCATTTGGGGGACTTTTTAGTGACTAGGGTAAAGACTTACCTAATTTTTAAAAGTAAGGACCAGAAAGCATTTATCAGACCAATGACTTGGTGAGTAACACAAGATGTTACAAAATTCAAGCTTTTAAAATTTAAAACAGTAATATATATTCCATTTAAAAATTTTTGTGTATTAGCCAGGCATGGTGGTACTTGCCTGTAATCTCAGCTACCCAGGAAGCTGACACAGGAGGATTGCAAGTTCAAGGCCATTCTGGGCAACTTAGCACCTGTTTGCAAATAAGGGTTAGGGGTGTAGTGTGGTGATACAGCATGGGCCTAGCATGTTTGAGGTCCTGGATTAAATCACCCTTCTCCCAAAAGATACACTAATTTGGAATCCAGGAGAGCCAATAAGCAAAATGGTCACAGAATCTTTTATTTTCTCCTGTGAAAATTCTAGTATCCCTTATATCTGCCACTGAGAACTATTATTCTAGTTTACACGGTTCTAGAATTTTTGCGTGTACAAACTGTGTGTATATGTTTCTGTGTGTGTGAATGTGTGTCTGTGCATGTAGAGAGCACATGAGAGAAATTTCTAATAAAAAATTGGGATCATTTTTTTTTCAAGGTTTCTTTTTTTTTTTTTTTGTACCAGGGCTCAAACGCAGGACCTTGTGCTTGCCAGGCAAGCGCTTGTAGGATCATTTTTGTCTGCTGCGTTATAACCTTTAGGGTGCATTCCTGTTTTTTTTTTTAAAGTACAGGTCTATTGAGATATAAGCTACTAATTTAAAGTGTAAAATTTATTTTAAATGTATAGTTATGCAATCATCATAATCATAATTTGAGAACACTCTTTATTACACCTAAAAGGAAGCCCTATACTTAATTAGCAGTTACTCCCATTTTTCCTAGAGCCCAAGAAACCACCTGTCAACTTTCTTTCTCTACTGATTTGGCTATTCTAGATACTTCCTTTAATTTTGGTCTTTTATATATTTTTTCCCCTCAGTATTACAATTTTTATTTATTTTTTCCATAATTTTACTGAGAAATAAATAGCAATGAGACAGTTTCAAATCAAATTGGTAGGACAGTTCCAATAATTAACACATTGCATACTGCCTTCCTAGTAGGTATTACAATTTTTAGGTTCAGCATGTTGTAACATGCATTAGTACTTTGTCTTTTTTTAGTGGCTGAATAACCCGTTGTCTGTACATTTTGCATACCCATTGGTCAGCTCATAGACATGTGGAGTGCGTTCATTCTTAGGCTATTGTGAATAGTGCTGCTATGAGCTCTCTGTTAGAAACTTTGTGTTGGGGCTGCAGAGATGGCTCAGTAGAATGAGTGCATGCCTGGCAAGCGCAAGGGCTGAGTTCAATCCCTGGTTCTGCCAAAAAAAAAAAAAAAGCTTTGTGTGAACACAGTATTTCCAGTTTTTTTGGGGGAGTAAGTTCTTAGGAATGTAAATTTATGTTCCAATTTCTAAGAAATTGTCAAATTAAGCAATTAAGTGTGTTTGTGTTTTTTGTTTGTTTGCTTTGTTTGTATGTGCTATTAGGACTTGAAGCCAGGGCCTGGCATATGCTAGGCAAGTATTCTGCTGAGCTTCATCTCTAGCCATTATTCATATATAATTTTATTTTTTTATTTTTTTTATTTAGTGTGTGTGTGTGTGTGTGTGTGTGGGGCCAGCTCAGCCCACCAGG